AGTGCATTCTTGACTTCAGCTTCCTTTTCTATTTCTTTTTTTCTTGGATATACGCCCAAAAGGCACCGTCATGACACAGACTTCCAAAACTCTAACATGCAACTCTGAACGTTGCTATCTAAATAGATAATCCCTATCTTGCTTTGATACTGATTATTTCATGGGGGCTGGGCAGAAAACTTGAAAAACTTTTTTCTGTATCTGCAGGCATCTGCTGCTTTGCAAATTTGGCCTCAAGCCCTCAGCTGCCTCTCCACAAAGCGCTGGCAAATGATCCTCAGACAGGAAAGCAAAACAGAACAGTCTATTTATTTATTTATTTATTTTGCCCATACTGAATGAGGTGCAAAAAAGCAGATAAATCAGCATAAGATGCTGAAAGGACCATTTGATTGTTTTTTAATGGGTCATGTCTAACAGTCTTATCCTAACAGGGAGAAAGACTTTGAGAACACAACATATAATAACTCTTAGCTGATCGCGTCTCTTAAAATAAAAAGAAATATTAAAAAAATCCCAGGCTAGATGGAAAAACTTCTAGTTGAAACAGAGCCAAAACCAAAAGCATGCTGGGGATGATAGAATACAACTGTTTCCAAAATGTTGCTCCGTCCAGCTTGCTGCCAAATTTATAAACATGATTATAAACACTGCTTGAGCTTTTCAGTTCAAAATCTATCTCCTATACGTTCATTCCTCCTTCAAAAGGGACAGAAACAAGTATTTTCTAATTTGTTTCCCAACAAAATTCCAGTATTGTAGGCAAATGAAGGCATCCACATTAGACGGGTACACAATATACATGACTGAGATTTATCTGTGAAGAACGGTTTCTCTAAGCTGTACTATGGGATGCTACCACCAAAAAGCTTCTGCTCCTTCTCTCCAGGTTGCATGAGCTTTGGGCTCAAGTTCTGGAGGACTAAGAAGCAGTGGTTGAAGGCAATACCAGACTGTATCTCCAGCCCCAGCAGCAGAAGAGGAGATGAGGAACCCCCTCTGCAGCCTGTGCCGTGCACCTCTGCCTTTTCACTAATACACCTCATGGAAAACTGTCACTTTCCATTAAGTTTGTGTCTCCAAGAAGAACATTAAATTTTTTTTTATCCAGAATTGTATCTTTGGATCCCATGATGTCAGGAGTTCTCTTTGACATGCTCTAACCCAGTATGGTCAGCAGAAACCTAAGTGACAGCATCCTTCATATGGCAGAGCAGAATCCTTAGTGGACTGTGTATTGTCCACACCATTTAGTCCTCCTGTGGCTGGTGTAGAAAATCCTTTTACAAAGGGCAGGTGGCTGTGTAATGAGCACGGTCCTAGCCCGAATCCTTGCTGGGTCCTTCCTTGTAAGCCATGTGGAATCCCTTCACTGGAAATGGATAGGCAATTTCCAGTGGAAAGCTTCCATTTACATAATACAAGTAGAAATTACTGCTGCCAACAGCTAGGGGTAGAGTTCCTCATTGGCACCTTATTCTGATATAATTCATAAGATGCAAAAGTACAAAGTAAATCTCAGACTGAAGACTTCTTTTAATTCAAAGAAGGATTATTTCCATGAAACCAAGGAATTCAAATTCAGTCTAACCCCAGGACAGAAGGAAGGAAGGGAATCATGAGACAGAATCTTTCTGAAGGTCCCAGGGAAAACATGCCCCAGCAAAGAAGATGGATTTGCTGGGACAATACAAACCCATAGGTAAAAAGACTACACCCATGCTAATGAGATGGACATTCTGAATTTATGAAGCAGTATATGGATTCCCAGAAACTGCCCTGACAAACCAGCAACTGTGCAGGCTGTCACCAAAGCACAAGCCCACTGCTCTTGGTAGCAGAAGCATACAGTAAAATTAGCGTTTAGTTGCCTGGGAATCAGACAGCACAGTGCTAAAACAGCCCTGCCAGCAGCACTGTGCAAGTGACACATTTTGTAGCATCTCCAGCCATAGTGTGTATGTGTTTTGAGAGACAGCTAAGCACAAATAGATAAATAATACGTCACCAGAGGGGCAGAGGGAGACTGGTAGTAGAGAGGCACAAGGGCAATACTGGGAAATATATGCAAGCAGTAAAGCCTGAAAGGTATGAGGGGAGGAGGAGTAAGGCAGGCAAGAATGATGTCTGGTGGAATCAGGACAACCCTGCAGAGCAAGATGGAAAGATGCCTGGCAAAACCAGAACAACTCCGGGGCCTGGAATTAAAGTGAACTATGCCAGGACTACAAGAGCTTCACCCACCGCTCCCTCCTTCACGCACAAGGATGAAAAACATAAAAACTTCAATGATGGGCAGGGCAAAAAGAGGAAGAAATAAGCTTCCATTTCAGGGCCTTGTTCCCTCATGGAAGAGCCCATCAGTGTTAACCAGGTGGCTTTAGCTCCAAGATCCTAAATACCCCTAGCCAACTAAAGGTAAGATAGGTAAGGACTAATTGTTTGTGTATGTGGACACAATGACTGCTTACAGAATGGTAATTAGAGAACCACTGAGCATGGAAGGGGCCTGTGGAGATCCTCTGGTCCTACTGCTCATAGCCAGGTCAGCTAGGCAGGTTGCTTGAGGCCACGTCCAGATGGATTTTGAGTATCTCCAAGGATGGAGGCTCCACAACCTCTCTGGGCAATCATTCTGCTGCCTGACCACTCTCACCATAAAAAAATATTTACTGTACTTTTACATGGAATTTCCCATCCTTCCCTCTGTGACTGCCGCTTCTCATCTCACTGAGCGCCAACAAGGAGAGCCTGCCTATATTTTCTGTACTCTCCCATCAGGTGTCTATACACACTGATGAACCTTGCTGAACCCACAAATGTCCTTGCCTGCCTGGTAGTGGGGAGTCCAGCCTGAACACTCTAAAAAGGACAGAGATTAAGAATTAACCACTGGCAATGTACTTTGTGCATGAACACCAAGCTAGTAACATGTTGTTTTGAAACCAGCTTGATTTATCAGTCTTTTATACACTCCCACATCGCAGTGTACCTGCTAACTATCCCTACCTCTCCCTCTTCTCCTCTCTCCCTGCTTTGAATTGCAGCCCTCTCGGCACACATGCTTGGAATGCAGCCACAGGTAAGCCTGAGAGCCCTGAGAGTGAGGCCACCGCTCCCACCAGCACTTCCCAGCATGGCCCAGTGCTGAGTGGGAGCTGGGCAAGGCCCAGCCCTGCATGGCCCTGCCACCGAACAAAGAGGCTCATTAAATGTACTGATCTAGGTTTGATAAAATGACCCCAGCTCATATTCAGGTTATGAATGGCATTTTTTAGTTCACAGGCCGGCAGGAATGAACAGGCCTTGTCTGACTGTCAGAGAGCTCTTTTTGCTGGCAGTGCAGGCCTCGATGCCAACCATTACCTCATCTGAATTCAGGGAATACATGTTCACGACACTCCCCTCTGCATCGGTATCAGGGCTGATGATTCAAAGGGAAAAAACTCCTGCTTCTTAGGAGAAGGCTGTAAAGGGACAGAAAGCCTTCATTCCAGTCCTGCTTTCAATCACCATGCATCTGCTTAAATGTTTGTAGGAGCAGCTGCTGAGTGCGCTTTTGTATGTCCTTCCCTCCGAGAGACGTGGCATTGCTGTGCTGAAAAAGAACAGCTCAGCTCTGCACGCCAAACCCAGGGCATGCTGAGGTTGGTGTGTGCCAAATGCCATGCAGGGATGTGCTGCTAAAGGTCTGCCAGTGTCACTTCCCCCTTGAGCCAGGCTCAGGAGTTACATGGGGCCTGGAGCTTCCCAGCAGCTTCACAGGCTTAGCGCTGCGCTCAGGGAACGGAATGCTTGGCTGTTTCTTTTTTTGGTTATTTATTTATTTATTTATTTTTAATTTTTATTTTAAACCAAACAGTGTTACTCATACGACTTTCTGATGGCCAAAGTGATGCATCTGCTGAGAACCTGAGCTCTGTAGCAGAGAAACAAGAAGACTGCAGTTTTGTTTATTTTCTGCATTCAGCCATTCTGGGTCTGCTCAGCTTGGCAGCCACCATTCCTGCAAGAGCAGGGGAAGGTGCCTCAACAGCAGGGGTATAAATAGATATTGCACTTAACCCTGACCAAAAGGTCAAGAGAAAAGGCCACCTAATATACCTACTGTTCATGCCAAATCATTTCAGCACTCAGGACCTACTCTGGCCTTTCCAACGGATTTTTAAAGTCAAGAAAAAAATTGCTCATCATAAAAGGGCTGAAATCCTGACTGCCACCATCCACTGGTAGTTTGTCCTGCCCTTCCAGGTGCCCCATTTGGGCTCCAGGTGGGAGCACAATGCAGCTACCCCACTGGGTAGCTGGATGGAGGCTGCTCAGCTCCACCTTCTCAGCGGGACCATACAGTGAAGAGAGACGTAACACTTCAGTTATGAGAACCAAACCTAATTTTGAATTTGTTTTGAAAATTTAGCAATCTGAGATGATTGCTAACATGTGTTTTGGATTTTTGCTTGAAACACAGGGCTCATATTGTTGCCTCTGGCTCAGTGTATCCCCGAACCACACTCTACTGGGTGTGGAGAGGGACACAGGGTGATTGCTCTACGCTTGACCTGTTCCTGAGCTTATCTGCCAGCAGCTGCTATGTGCAACTGTAAGGAGGACACGAGTGTATGGGAGCTTTCACACAGTCCCATTACAGTTGGTCTTGCTGCCCAGAAGCTCTAATTACCTTTTGCACAGCAGTATGTGTACACCAAACAAGACTGTACCTGCTTCGCTCCTTTTGTGTCACCATTTAAGTAAATACATAAATAAAGTGCACTATTCTCAAGGGTGCCACACAGGGTGCCTGTCCCTCTGAGCTCACAGCAGTTCTGGGCACCCACCCAAAACCAGACCCAACCTGAGCTTCACCCTTACTTCTGCCAGCCTCATGTGAGCAAGCCACAGAGGAAAGTGGATCCTAATTTTTTGCAGCTTACAGAGCAGACCTAGAAGGGCATCAATATTAGCACATCCCTCTTGAATAGAAAATAAGCGACCAGACCTACCTTGTCCCTGTCATACGTCATCTGCTGGGAAGAAAGTCAAGCTGGCACTCCAGCAGCATCTTGAAGGACTGTCCTTGGATGATTTACTCTCCATGCACTCTTCTACATGTTTTCTATACAGAAAAGACATGTTTAAAAAAAAAAACCAAGAATAATAAAAGACCACCACCAACAGAAAATAAGCCCTAAACTAAAAGATAATCACACTGCTACATTCATATTATTAAAACCAACTAATCATGTTTTTATCTGCATGTTATGTTGTGATGCCTAGATGTTATGTAATTTAAGCCACACATTAATCTCTGCTGCTTATCATAGTGGATTTATTAAAGAAAGCTGGATGAAGACACTACACACGTTAGCTATTTAAAACAGCCCACACTAATACTATTCAGAGATGTAAACTCCAACAAATCTCTGTTGAGCATGTAAAAAGGGAGTTACAGTTCCAGCCACATCAAGTGAAGCTCCAGCTCCCACTGACTTCCATGAGAAAGCTTCTGCTCACTCTGACAGTAATTCAGCTACAGCCTTAATTGCCAAATGAATCAGAGAAAGCACAGTAAGAGAGAGTTAGTGGAGGAAATAAAGTTAAAAGTTCTTTGGATAATTATTTTCAGCAAATGAAGTAACCGGTGGGATTCACACGCTTCCCTGAAGGACTCCTTTAGCCCCATTCTTAACAGCTGTACCTAACAGACTAGCATTTTCTTCATTTCCATCATACACAATTGAACTTTTTTAACATATCTGAGAAATTTCTACCTTGTTTTCACCCCTGTTTAACTTTTTTTTTTGCTGCATAAATGTAAATGTTAATAAATATTTCTCTCTGTTGAGTGCGTGTTATGTTAGGAACTGCTTCATTCTGCTGATGCACTGTTGGAAAATAGATGATCAAATAGGACAAGTATTATATGGACTGTAATGTTTGGCTTCAAAATTGAATTTCCTTGCTCTGGCTTACTCCACACAAACTAAGTTTTGTGTGTGGATGCCCATCTACGTGTATCTGTGCTTGCATTTAGCATCTCAAAGCCAATTAGGATCTGATTCTTCACTTCTCAGCCAGACCTCCAGATGAATGGGAGTTTCATACAGGCTGAGGGCATATGAAGGAATCTTTTGGGAATAACCATTATCGTATACAGAAAAGACCACAGCATCCACTCTCTGGGCACTCAGCAGCCAGGCAGACGCCTCACAACAGGAGCACTTAGAGCTGGGCGGTGAGAGGCAGAGAGGCAAAGGGAAACCCAGAAACAAGGCCCAAGACTTACATAAAGCCAAGGGAGTACTTCCTTCTCTAGGCCATGAAGCTGACCATGAAGGTCTGAAGCTGAAAATCCATCACTGCACAGGAGAGAAAAATTCCATCTAAGCAACTTCTACCAAGGCCCCCCCATCCCCAGCCTTTGCTCCCCTCTGAATTTGCTCATCATCAGAACATACAGGAAGCCTTCCTTGTGAGTAAATCTAACCAAGAAGGAATTTGCTAGAGGGGGCAATATTTTTTTATTTATTCCAAGATGAGGCAACAGTTTGGAAAGCGTTCAGTAAAACGTTCGGATGTCACTCCCCAAAACACTGGTGTGCTGGACTGCAGATGTGAGCAAGCTTTAAAAAGGAGAGTGAATAATGAAACATTGCTTTGAGGGAAAAGACCCAGACACGACCAGTATGAACACTTTAAACCAAGCATCTGAGACAGCAGAAGAAAAAAAACAAAAGGAAACAATGAAAAAGTATAAAGAGAGACCACACACCTAACTCCTTTGACAGCTCTGGAAAAGTTCCAGAGATCACAGGACACAATTTCACTTCTGCAGTATCCCATGCCCTGCATTTTAAAAAAGCAAACCAACAGTAACCCAAAATGTGATGTCATGTTGACAGTTGGCAACTGCATTTTCAGTCTGACACTCCCAATCCTTTTACAGCCTTTCCATGTTCTCATCATCCCAAGCCCGCAGCTACTTTTATTGCTGGAGAAGAATCAAGCAAAGGAGAAATGATCTCCTAGGGACAGAATCCAGCCAAGTTGCTATTTGCACCTTCTCAGCCCTTCCAATTGTATGTCATACCAACACAGCATTTCTCTGGACTTAATTCCGCACTCATCTGGACTGTTCTGCTCTTCATGAACAACAGAATGTGATCAAACATCAGGATGATGTCATACATCAGGTTGGAGTTTAGCCTTCTGAAGGCAGGAGAGTGAAAAATGGTACTAATGTCCATCCTAAACCAACCTGACTCCAGCAAAGAAAGCAACTAATGTAAGGACAACCTTTCTGAATCATCAGAGACCCACCCAGACTACTGCTACTGAAGGTGAGACATTGTGTGGCCTTATAAACCAATCAACCCAGCCATCTAGGTTGATCAGTCAGTGAGCTCTTAATGAAAATCAGACACTTTAGGAAATGAACAAAAAAACAGTATTAACTACTTTAATTTTTAAGTCATACCCCCTCACTCCTAAAAACTTAGAGAGAGAATGTAAAAAGTATAAGCATCCAATTTCCACCTAGCTATTAATTGTTAGCATTACTCTAGAATCTGCAGTACCATCTGCAGCAGAAATACAATGTGAGACATGGCTTTGCCATAAAAACTAAGCCATGATGGAAATGATAAGTCATCAAAAACGAGTAAGATATCTATGTCTCCTGATCTTTAACGTAATGGCCTGGCAATCCATCTTTTCACTGTCTTCATGGTGTCTGAATTTCTAAAGATGCAGTTTCCCATCTCCAGCATCCAGAGAATGCCCCAGTAGCACAACCAGAGACTCACAGTAGCTCTACACGATTGTGTTTGGCTACCAACATGGGGTGAATCAACTGGGGAGCTGGGCAAACTGTTGGTACAACACAGCGCCGACATGAAAAGACTGCTTCCAACTGCCAAATACCCGAGATAATTTACGAATATCTTACTTCATACTTCTTTGAAACACATGGATTTACCCCAAAGCCTAACTGTGAATGTGAGCAGCCTCAGACTTTGCAAAGGTACCAAATGCTAAATACCTGTGGGTAGAAAGTACACCCACTATACAGTGTGCAAAACAAGATAAATTCCTGTGTTAAACACTTCTCTTTTCATGTTGCTATCATGCTAGAAAATAAAGGACAGCTACCAGGGTTCAGATATGGACACCACCACCACGTATGCAGTGTAGATGCCAGCAGGCAGGACTGCCTGAAGCAGTGTGTGCTGCAGGACCCCAGAATTCACAAAATCAACTCTAACTCATGAAATCGAGGCGGGGATTGGAACTGGATAATCTTTAAGGTCCCTTCCAACACAAACCATTCTATGATTCCGCAGTTCTAAATTTTCCCTCTGCAATGCTCCCTCCCAGACTGCTTGAATGTAGATGCTCACCTACATTAGAAAAATCTACTGACCAGGAGGGCACAGATTCCTCTTCTTGTAGCTTCTGAAGAGTTTGGCATGGTCCCACACTCTGCCCTGCCGATGAGAGCCTTTTTATCCCAGCCAAAGGTTGGCTCAGCTATCAAGCTGCCCTGTGATGCCCTGCTGGCATCTTCTAGGGAAACTAAACTTCATCACAAGGTTATTACTAGTTTTAATTACTACAGAGATTTTATACAAGGGAAACAAAGCCTGATCCGAATGCATCGTATGTAATGTCCAGATTCCAATTGAAATTATTTACAGGAACAGTGGCAGTAAAGCATGCTGCTGGGAAGGAATGCTGAAGCAACGGCTGAAAGCCGTGTCAGAAGGAAGGCACCATGCAGCTGGGCACTGAGCCCTGCAGGAGGTGACTCAGCAGCAGAGGCCTTGGGCATTGCTCCCTGACTGCACGCGTGACTTAAGGCCTTGAGGGACCAGCTGGCACCTGGAGCAGTAAATGGGAGAAAGAGGACAGTGAGATATCCAAGGGAAAAGAAAGCAAGCCTCCTGCATGTAGATAATTCAAGGCTACTGTAGAAATTGGTGCTAGGCATACATGTATTATAAATTACGGCATTTATCTTCGACATCTTTTGTTCCACAGGACTCCCAAAGCACTTTACAACTCCAGCTTTCAGAATAGCAGAGGCTTTTCCTGAGGCTGTGCTGAGCAGGGGACCAGCATTGACATAAACCCTGCTTTCACATAGCTTGATGCTGCTGCTGCTGCTGCTTATTCCCTGCTGAAAACAGCACTCAGCAGGATTAGAGCTTCTTCCTGGAAGTGGGAAGAGCATATTTCACTGCTCTGTAAATATAATTGCTAAGAAGGACCAGCACGAACCGCTGACTTAGCCCATTGCACAAAGCAACCTTCTGGACTTCATGGGTGACTTCTGATGTTTCAGCTGCAACTTGGTCCTCTGAGCTCCCTCACCCCAGACCAGCAAAGCACATACACCTGAGTGGGCTTTGGGTTAATGTGCACGTACTTCTGAACAGGCAGCCAGCCCAGTGGTGCCAACAGGCCAACTTCCATGAATAAATGTGAGCCCATGTGCTCTGCTGGAGAGCACTTCAAGACATCAGTGCTTTAAGCCCTTAGACATCATCACATAGATATTTAACTGTTGTTTTCTACAATCCAAGTGATAGAGAAATGTCCGTATATTTTTAGATCAAAATTTTCTGTTCACTTGCTCTGATCTTCTATTTCAGTGGAGCATCTGAGAGTACTCTAAGATAATGTCTTACTGCACTCAGTGCAAAAATATCCATATCTACTCAGCTGTGTGTCTCAAACATTTTAGTTTCTAAATTACTCTAATAAGTTTAACTTCATAAGTTTCTCTGTTATGCTGACAGTTTTAATGCAGATAATTAAATTATCAAGACATTTCCAGGTATATTAGTTCAATGGTCAGCTTTTATACAGCAGTTATAATAACATAATTAGTAGAAATGTGTATCAGTGTAAATGCAGTGGGATTTGAAATCCCCAGAGGAAAAGCATGGTGTGAGTACAAAACATTGCATTATTTTATCTCATTGGGTTAACACTACATTTCCCCTCTTACATCTGTTTACTCTGGGCAGGCATGAATTAAAGAACTTGTTTGGAACTGGGCAAATAATGCAGGTTTCTATACATTCATTGTTGGAAAACGTCTTTTGTCAAGTCATGCAGAAGTAACTAATCCCATCACACTACACCTTCAGCAGATGCCTGATCTAATGGATATTTGTTTTCAAAGTCCTGTGGGTAATAATTTGTGCTGTAATGAAAGCCTGGAGCAAAGAACAAAGTTCCCCAACCTGCCTTTTTCCTGAGCAGCCTAAATGGGTGTACAGAGAAAATGGGAAGACTGGCAAGTTAACAGGGGTATGAAGCCCAGTTAGATCAGGTGTGCAAACTCTCCATAGCCTGTAAATTTACTTTTTTTTCCAGCCTTTCCTTCCTCAAGTGTCTCTTTTGTCCACTTCTGATCTTACTCTGCCAGACTCCTACAACACAGAGCAAAGGTCACCGTGACTCATCTTAAGTTAACAAGAAACTTTCTTTGCTGCCAGTATTGCTTACAAGGTAGATGCTCGCTGACTGTTTCCCATGAAGCTGTAAATTGCCTTGGGGAGATGTGACAGCAGAGCATCAGCTGCCTCGTACATCTGACACTGGAAAGAAGTTCATGAAAATCTGGCTTCAAACATCAAACATGGCTTCAGTTTCCTGACTTTCCCTAGCCCTGAACACACCCTCAGTTCTGGTGTGCAATGTGAAGCCCCTGCCAAGCAGCTGATTTCCACCAGCACTCATTCACACTGATCAGGCCATGCCCTGCCTTCATCCATGCACTCCGAGACCCAGAAGGGACCACCAGAAATGGTTAATAAAGGAAAAACACCATCCCCTCGCAAACATCTTTCTCTAAACATCCCAGAACAAGTGAAACACTTCAGCTGGTTCATCTGTCCAAAAAACTAAACAGCTGTTTGAAGAAAGCCTCTGCTGTTCCCATCACTCTCCCCTGCCCTGGAGGCACTCCTTGGTCCTGGAGCTCACAGGGATGACTCCATTCAGCGCTGAGGGCTCCTCTTGCTCTCCCCTCCACTCTAATCACATTATACCTTTTAAGCCTGGGAAAGCTTAGATGTGATCGTTTACAATATGACCCCTAGTGGGGGGAAAGAGACAGGAAAAAATTAGGTGCAGTGTATTTTCTGGTGAAATTATAGCTGCCTGACCCTTGCTTGCCTCTGCCAGATTTCTTTACAGCTTTATTTGTAACCAAAGATCTTGGCTCTGATGGTAGGTGTACTAGAAATTGGCTGTACATTACCCCTGGGCCTTTAGCAGCCTCAGTCACGGCCCCAACAAAACACTCCAGCGTGGATCAATATCACAGAAGCCAAAGAAACAGAACAGGAAGACAGGACCCTGCTTTGAGTGGACCTCTGGCCACACCAGATGTGATTCCTCATCCACAGGTTTGCCAGCAATGTGAATGCAGAATTGGTCTAAGTGTGGCAGGAAAGCACATAGCCTTTGTCTGTGTAGTTACATGTAGTTACGAGCAGATGACACAAGTCTTTTTCAAAATGCCTGTTTTTCCCCGTAACATGGAACACTAGAATGGTGGAGAACACTTCCCTTTCCAAGTATTTTATCCCATGTTCTTCTGGCAATATCAATCAGGTAACAGAACAACCAGAACTTTTGTTCCCTTCCTTCTCTTACAGTTTGTCTTTCTCTATATAAGGTAAATCTTTCAACACCTCATCTCAGCACTTGGCTTTCTTCTTCTTCCTACACCTCAGCAACCAAGAGATGCACAAAGAAAGATCTAACAGGCATTTGTCACATCTCCAAAAGAGGAGACAAGGAGTCAGTGCAATAGTTTTGACATGGAGACCACAGAGGGCTAACTGAGACAGCAGGAGGCTGCTGGACTCTCTAAGTGGGTGTAGGAGCTTTCCTGAGCACATTTTATTCCAAACTTGCAAGTGATGAACGTAACAGCTCTTGGTCTACAAAAATAGACTTATCTGCCAAGATAGAAAGCTTATCTTATAATTCATGCCCCAACTCTGTAAGATTTGCATTTATCATTCCTAAGACTGTAGAGGAGGGAAACTTACAAATATTCATCCCCTTTCCAATTAGCAACAGTTAAGACCCTGCTTATGTTTAACAAATAAAAGCCACTTATACAACAGGCTACTTTTAATGAAAGTATCTGCAGTTTACACAGGTTTAGAAGGACCCAGCAATGCCTCAGGCCATTTTCATACAGTAACAATCACCATGGCATGAGTGTGCCACAGCATTATTCAGCTTCCTGTTCCCCATTCTTCCCTTGACTTCTCCATCAACAGGTACGATAAGTTATTTTAACAAAGAAATATCAAATAAGGAGCAGTCTCCAACACGTTTCTCTTGAAAGATGCTCCATAAACTCTAAAGCTTTTTCTCCCTGGTGTTGACCAACACTTCAAGCTGCCCACTGACTGGAACTTAGAAGACTGGCAGTAAAAATGCATTATGGAATATATGTGAATGTGTGTTTGTAAACATATATACATAACATTATTTTTTTATGAAAGACATAGCTAAATAACACCCAGTACAAATCTGGGCTAGAATTGATGGCCCTGTTCCAGTTTGAGCTAACTTATTCCAAATTAATTAGTGTCAGCTGAGCCTTTATGAATGTAAATCTAGAAACACCGCATAGATTTATTCCAAAGCAGACATATTTGTGATTTATCCTAAAATTTGTCTAGGATCAAAGTTGGTTTTCAAATAGAGCAAGCCTGTCTCACAGAAGCAGCCGAGGCAGGCTTATTTTAATTCTCTGTAATTAACAGGAGTTCAGCGTACTGCACTGCTCTCCCTGGTGCAGGTTGCAGATTTCAGAGCTGTGTTCCACCAGTCTCAGAAAGGTCTGATCTGAACAGTGCATCAAAGTGCACTATAGGCAACCACCCACTCCATGCAAAGCATCTGGAAGTGCTCACATGCATCTTGCCACTAATAGGGAGAGAGTCAGGTTCTCATATAGGATAAGAAACAAAATAAAAATGTAAAGCCAGGGGAATTTTGCTGAAAAAAAAATGGATTTAAATATGGAAGATCTTAAGCTTACACTATTCTTATCTTCTGAGCATATGCATCTGTCCAGAGAAATGTGTGAAAATCCAAACAGATTGTGTCTTTGTGCAATATAAAATGTTGGGGTTGGTAGGAGTTTCTGATGTAAAAACCTACTACATGACACAGGACTTCAAGAAAACAGTGTTATAGGATGAGTACAGAAAGAGACAACTGAGGGAAGCAAAACATTCCTTTCCAAACTCAACAAAACTTAGTTATTTCCCAATTATCATAACTAGTCACCATTTTGTAAAGACTTTACCAATGAGCTCCCAAGTAAAGCTACTTGTAGCAAGACTGCCATCATCAGCAACAAAAATGACAGCACCAAATCAGGAGGCAGGAAGGAGGAGGCTTTTATGCCATTTTTCAGACAAACACAGACTGTAAGAGACATCCCACCTCCTATTAGTGTCTCCTTACATCAAGATGCTTCTGCAAGGCTGATGCACAGAGAGATGAGGAGGTGTCAGGATGAAGGAAAAGCACCATCTCCCTCCCACGGACTGCCATAAGCCAGAACAACCTGGGGCTGGGAAAACTCCAGAGGGGAAATTTGGAGTGCAACAGAGAATTAGGGAAGACACAACCTATACTCTATACCCCCGCTTGCTCTGACGGCAAAATCTCAGCTAGGGCAGGATCATGTTCCTGGATTTTTTCCCTATAGAAATGAGAGCAAGCTATAAGCTGGAAAAAATATAGCACTTTCTTTTAATGTTTTGCCAATCTGACTGCTATATGCTTTTACCAGACAAGCGCAACATTTCCTACTTAAATGATATTTCATCTGCTAGGCAAAGATCCTATTTCCTTTCCATCAATGACTGAGATGTTAAAAATATGCTGCTGACAGTATTTACTATATCCCAAGGGTCCTCACGTTGGCTGCTCCTCAGCCCTAAATACCCACCTGGAACTCCAGAAACTCATTGCATCCTTCCTAATGGGCTGCTGAGTGCAAGATAAATACCAAATCTGACCACTGACCCTTGATCACCAAATAGCTCTGTGAAGGTCTTCTTCCAAACCTGAAATACCTGTTGCTTTTCCACCATCCTTTGGTAGCAACAGCAACTCCCTTCCTTTCATCACCAGCAATTCTACCGAGTTCAGCTTCCTTCTAGTGGAGAAGCATTATTCTAGCATGAGCTTCATGTTAAATCCTGCCTTTATCCAGCCCTGTTTGCAGACTGTAGAGATGAGGGGCCCCACCTCACCCTTCCCTATTCTTTCCCCTGAAAGCCCTCAGGACACTGAATTAGTCAAGCCTCTTTATCGCGCTGTTCAGCCATTCTGAAAAGAAAAGGAAAAAAAAAAAAAAAGAAAAAGGAGGAACTTCCATGATTTATTTCACTTAACCTAATAGACTCATTAAGGAGAAATGAGTTTTGTCAGGGTAATGTTTTCCTTATGAAAAATGTAGTTTTGTGCAGGGAGAACACATCTACACCGGATGAATTTACGAACTGGATCCTGTCCCCAGCACGATTCCAAATACATGAAATACATGCAGAGAAAAAAAATCAGGACTTTTAGTGGTATCAGACTTCGCATATTATTTTGTACTCACATGCTGTGGAACAATAGAAAGATTATTTTTAGTTCAGGGCCATTTGGTTTGCAACCCAGTGGAACAGGATTTCCCCCACACACACCCTGTGTGTTTTTTTTTCCATCTGATGTAACCTACGGTTATATTTCTGATGATTGCTCTGAAACCGTTGTGCTTTTGTGACAGTGTTTAATTTCTTTCGTGCCGTTCTCATAAAGTAACAAAAAAAAAGAAGGTGCAGCGATAGGGCTGAATGTTAAAAATCATCATGAAAATACAACAACAACGTGTGTTCAAAGCCATAAAGACAGAACCCTGAAACACCTACCTTTCAAAAGAGCAGTCCCTCGTACAATTAAGTGTCTTATCAAATGAGGAGCTCTGCTTTCTGCTCTGGGTGCCACCAGCTGGCTGCAGGTTTAATTAACAACGCCAGGAGTGTATCTGCAGCTCCAGGCACAGCCCTGCGTCCCACCTCACACTGCCTGCTTCCTTAACAGCACACCAATACAGGGCAAACCCAGCCCAGGAAACCCAATTGAGCTGGTATGTGTCTCACACACTGGGGATCTACTAATTCGCTTAAGAACGTGAATAAAGATGCAGAGAAAGGTAGGCTGCCCCTTTCAGAGAACTGGAAAAAAACGGGTTGGATGCTGGAAATAAAAGAAAGCAAAACTACCTTGCCTGTGGGTCTTGAACATCTCCAGAGAAGGAGACTCCACCACCTCCCTGGGCAGCCTGTTCCAGTGCTCCGTCACCTCACTGTAAAGAAATTCTTGTGCACATTTGTGCGGAACTTCCTATGCTGCAGTTTCCAGCCGTTTCCCCTTGTCCTGTCTCCACTCACCACTGAAAAGAGTCCGGCCTCGCCATTCTGCCCCTCACACCTTAGATATTTATAGACCTGGATCAGGTCCCCTCTCAGTCTTCTTTTCTCAAGGCTGAACAGACCCAGTTCACTCAGCCTTTCCTCATAGGGGAGATGCTCCAGGCCCTTCACCATCTTCGTGGCCCTCCGCTGGACTCTTTCCAAGAGATCCCTGTCTTTTTTGTACTGGGGAGCCCAGAACTGGACGCAGTACTCCAGATGAGGTCTTACCAGGGCAGAGTAGAGGGGGAGGATCACCTCCCTCGACCTGTTGGCCACGCTCTTTTTAATGCACCCCAGGATGTCATTGGCCCTCTTGGCCACAGGGGCACACTGCTGGCTCATGGCCAACCTGTCGTCCACCAGGACACCCAGGTCCCTCTCTGCAGAGCTCCTCTCCAGCAGCTCATCCCCCAACCTGTACTGGTGCATGGAATTATTCCTCCCCAGATGCAACACTCTACACTTGCTTTTGTTAAACCTCAAAAATCCAATGGCCATCCTGTTCAATTGGATGTCTTCTGGCAAACTGTGCTAACAATTTCCTCAAAAACTCTTAATTGGGGAAGAAACTGTGTTGAAAACGTTTAAAGTCTGCAGCATCATTTCTAGAAGTTTTTTTATGTGTGACAAACACAGAAATTGACTTAGTATGTTACTTGGCATGCATGATGACTAATGAGATCACATTCAAAATTTGCTTGTATGACTGTGTTAAGACCATGCTCACATTTGAACAAATGTTGCTCAACATACTTCCTTCACATGAGCTGTGAAAAAAGTCCAGACTTGCCTTGAAGTGCACCGCTTGCTTTGAGACTTGCAATCATTCCATTGCAAACACTATATGCAAAGTTAATGAGTCAATTAAACAAAGCTCCCTGCCACCAGCATTGATACTGAGAGAGACTGACGCGGTCACTATAGCTTTGTATGCTGGTGACTGGGCCTTGGGAAAGTGTGGGGGTGATTGTGAGAGCAGGGGGCCACAGGCTGAGAAGGAGCCCTGCAGAGAGTGAAGCAAAGGCACCCTGGTCTGACGTTTGCCTCATTGACTCTGGGATGTCAGATCAGCCCTATATTGGAGAGATCCACAGCTTTGTATGCAGAGCTGCCCTGCAGAGGCAGTCTCACAGCCCACCCACGGGGCAGCGGCTGGGAATCACTGGCAGACACGCATTCCCAAACTGAAAAAATAATTAACCACCTAGTTTCTTTTAATTAAGACCTTGACTTATCCACCACTCCAGGATATGTGGATGTTTGGCTGCTGGGATGCATCAACACACCTGAGCACTGGAGGCGATTCCTCTTTGGCTGCATACCTCAGCATGCAGCAGAGCAGGGCTCCCACCCTGCTGTACCTGTGCTCCCCACCTCATGCCATTGGCCATGTCTCTCAGTATTTTGTTCCTGATAATCTCACAGATGCTGTCTTGGTAGGAATTTCCAGACGCAAATTTCGGCATCTTAAAAGTGTTCTGCAGTTCTGGCATTCTCGCATCAGCCGAGTGCCAAAGCAGCACACAGTGTTTTACACTTACGTAAGGAGATAAAGTTTTTGCCTCGAGGATATGGTGTTCCTAAGGCAGAGATAACATGCTGGGAAATGACAAGGAACCATGGAGAAGAGGGGTGGGGAGAAAACAAAAGAGAAAGATAGAGAAGAGGAAGGGCAAGGTACTGTCATGGGAGGACAAACTGAATTTTTCCTTTCAGCATGTGAGATGTTTTCCCCAGGTTATCTGCCTTTAGGGTCTTTTAACTTATTTTTCTTGATCATCCTCTTCTCATCCTCCACCTCCTTAGGAGCATATTTTGCCTCCTCTGCACTCACACCACAACTGGTGGGTCTCACACAGGTGAGATGCGGCTGCTTCTGGCCCTTAAGTCTGGCCCTTAAAGTGTAGGACTCAGCTCAGTGCAGCAGAAGATGAGGTTAGTGATAGAAACTGCAGGTGACTGTCAACAAATTCGTCCCTTCAGTTTGTCTCTTCCTCTTCTAGTTTGGTTTCTGTTATTCAGACCTTTGAGGTACAGCATCTCTGACTAGGAAATACCTATTTGAATCATTGCCTTCTGCTTGAACTAACAGCCCAGCATCTGTCCTGTGGCTGTCCATCCCTTTTGCCCCCCCTCTGCTCCCAGTGGTTCTGCAAAATGTTAAAGTCAAATTATGTAATATTGATGATGATAAATCTATGATTGTAAAACAATGATTGTAAAACTACTAATTGTTACTGCAATTCCTCTTCATCCCTTAGGTCCATCCATCTGGGACTGTTTATTCCAAGAAGAGGAGGCTCAGGGGAGACCTTGCAGTTCTCTACAACTCCCTGAAAGGAAGCTGTAGACAAGTGATGGTCCGCTTCTTCTCCCAGGTAACAGTTACAGGATGAGAGGTGATGGCCTTAAGTTGCACCAGGGGAAGTTCAGGTTGGATATTAGGAAACATTTCTTCTCAGAAGAACTGATGAGGCACTGGAACGGGCTGCCAAGGTAGGTGGTGGAGTCACCATTCCTAAAGGTATTCAAGAACCGTGGAGATGTGGCACTGAGGGATGTGGTTAGTGGGCATGGTTGGGATGGGTTGATGGTTGGACTAGATGTGATATTTCCAACCTTAATGATTCTATTAGTAGGATTTGATTTTGATTTAATTGTTCTTGATAATTCAAGGACACGTAAGCTGTCAGGTGCAGATTCTGCTTTCACCAATGAAAGACAAAAAAAAAATAGTCAATTAAGATACAACCATAATACAATTAACAGTTAAAATTTCTAAGACAAAGTAATAAAACCTTGAAAGCCAGTATTATGATGGGAAGCATGGCACATCTGAAGTCATGATTGTCAGCATTGCAAACATGTTCAAGAAGGCAGTGGGGAAGGTTCATCAATGACCCTTCCATTGAATTACCAATGCTTCAAGGAAGAAAGACTAAATATTTTCATACTCTGTGCCTAATTCCTGTTGGTCTTGGATAGGCTTAGTTTTTAGAAGCGTAATAAGAAGGCGTAACATTGGGTATTACCAAAAAACATGGGCTGATTATCAATAAGATGATGTGCTAAGAAGCTTTATGGGGAGAAAAAGTCTTCAGGAGGGAAGGAGGAATACTGAATACATAGTAAAGAGCCGTGAAGGTATGTACAGTGCTAGTTGGAGCACTACTGTTGGGACTGGAAGATCCCATTTAAACACGGATCCCAGAGATAATCCACCCTTTGTTTGCCTCTCACCCTGCTGATCTCAAGAACGTTGTTCAGTACTGACTGATCTTCCAAATGTCTGTGTTTCTACTCTGAGACCTGGCACTGTTTTCTTAGAAGAATGTCACAGAATCATAGGAGTTGGAAGGGACCTCTGGAGATCATTGAGTCCAACCTCCCTGCTAAGGTAGGTTCCCTATAGTAGGCCCAGGAAGGTCTTGAATATCTCCAGAGAAGGAGACTCTACAGACTGCCTGGGCAACCTGTTCCAGTGCTCTGTCACCCTCACGTAAGTTTTTTCTCATGTTGGAATTTCCTGTGTTGCAGTTTTTGCCTGTTTCCCCTTGTCTTCTCTCTGGGCACCACCAAAAAGAGCCTAGCCCCATTCTGTTGACACCCACCCTTTAGATAATTAAAAATGTTGATAAATCCCCCAGAAGTTTTCTCCAGGCTGAACAGTACCAGGTCTCTTGGCCTTTCCTCACAAGGGAGATGCTCAGGCCCTAAATCATCTTTGAGGCCCTCTGCTGGACTCTCTCTAGAAGTTCCCTGTCTTTTTGGAGCAAAGGAGCTCAGTACTCCACACAGTACTCCAGATGTGATCTCATCAGAGCAGAGGGGGAGGATCACCTCCCTTGACCTGCTGGCCACACTTTTTTTAATGCACTCCAGGATCTGTCTAAAATGATGCTGCGTCTGGAGAGCATAACGTCTATTTTTTTCCCCCACAAAATAAAGACAATTGCTTTATTGTGGATGGCCTGTGATGGCATTCATCTTCAAAGATAAAAGATCACCATAATAAATTTTCTTCTGATATTAATACAGGCATAGTTGGCAACATACCACTTAGAGAATTGGTCTAGGAAAATGGCACAGATTATCATGAAGCCATGTTATAAAGATAGCCTGAAATTTTATTGCAAGCCTGAGAAGATAATTTTCTATTTAGGCATGATGTACAGTAATGGCAAAAATCTGATGTGAAGTTGCTCTCCACACTCACAAAGGCAGTGCAACAACCAGGAAGTGGAACCACTTATATGTTGCAAATCCATCTACACTTGCCATACACTGACAAAATAGGTGTAGTCCTCAGTGCCTGGGATGGAATTGAAGTATTTTAATAACATCTCACAGAAATTGTAAGACCCTGATCTAAAGTGTTTGCAATAGACTTAAGGATTCACCCGTTGCAGTTAAGGGGAATGCCCTAACCTTGATGCTGAACATCTTGCTTGTGTTTAATCAAGAGCACCAGATGAGACAGAAAAATGAGTGATTTCAAACAAGTCAGAGATGCTCAGAGGAAGCTTTTAAACTGACTC